TCCTACACGAGTCTTTTGAATTCGCCTCATTTGATTTAGTTGGATTAATTGGTGTATTATGTATATTGCCATCACGTGCTCTAGGATTTGGAGGCTGCACATATAAAAATCAGTGGATTTTATCGATTTATATAATGAAATTAAAAAAGCATTATAATGTTTATAATGCTTTAAAATAATAATAATTTAAGAACATTACCAATGGTGGTGTATTTTTTTGGAGCGTTTCATTATACTTAATATCTTGATTTATCTGTAAACTTATAAGCAAGGTGTTTAAAACTTTTAGAAAATATCAAAACTATTTCGATTGCTATAATCTGTACAAATATCTAGAATCTTACCACATTTTTAGCTGGTTTTTTATAATCATTTAGATTCGGATATAAGGTATTATCAATTTCAGAAATAGGTGGAGCACTGGGACCCTAGAACAAGTATAGGTATTTTACTTCTCTTGAAATGTTACAAATTAAAATATCATTAACATTGGAAATGTTGTAAAATATACCATATATGCTCTTCTCATATTGTTTGGAATTCCAAAAGAGGGCTAAACATTAAAAAGCAAGGAATATAAAAATTAAATAGAAATGAATGGAAGTTACACAAATAAAATCTTTTATTTTTTACCTTTGATGCATTGTTTTGGTGATTGATATTGCGATTTGATATGCCTGATACTGGATTTATCTAAAATGTAGAACAAAATATAATTGTAACAGTAATTAATTTAATTCTGCAGAAATATATAGAGTTCATATTTTTCATTACATATTTTGTGATGCAGTAGAGAAGATATTGTTTAGATTTACCTCTCTCTCATTAATATTTAATATGTTCATTGGACAACAATGAGTAAAGTGATGACGCTCACCACACTTCTCACACTTGTATCCCCAAGCAGGACAAGCTTTCAGCTTATGTTTTTGATTACATTTCCGACAATTTCGTTTGAACTCCATAGGTTTAGTCTCACAATTTTGATTATCGATTTTCTTAATATTACTGTTATCATTTTTAGGACTTGTCTTAGTTTCATTATCAGTATTCGATTTTATTAAATTAACATTCTTTTTAGAAGCTTCAATCTGTGCTTGCTTAAGTTTGTCATAATCATGACAAATGGACATTAATTTGATCAAATTGAGATCTTCTGTTTTCAGTAGTTTTGACACAAGCTGTTTGTCTTTTATATCTGTAATTACTTTATCTCTAATTAAACTGTCTGTTAAGCTTTCAAATTTACAAGTTTCTGCTTTCTCCTTAAACATGAAATAGTAGTACAAATATAATATATGTTCACTAATATGAAGAAAGTATAGAAAATCTTGTTAAGAAAATTTACCTTCAATTCAAGTATGTAGTTATCAATTGATTGACCTTTCTTAAGTGATTGAGTGAAAAAGTTGTATCGTTCTACAACTTCACTTTTTGGAACTTTGAAGAATATATTAAGTTTCTCTAATAATATTTCTAAATTATTTAAAGCTTTTCCATTGTAGTTTTTATTAATTGCATCTATGGCATGTAGACCATGTTGTCCAATATTTTCTTTTAATAAATGGATTTTTAAGTCCTCTGATTTTGCTAAATACTCGACAAATTGATTTTTCCATTCCAGCCAATTTGCTGTCATATTTCCAACACCAGATAAAGGTGTTAGTGATGTTTTACTCACTGCCATTTCTCTATTAGTTTCTTCACCAAAATAAAAATATATGCATGCAAAGCGTCGATAATAATTTAGAAACGATTACATTAATTTATTGGAATGATCTTAATAATTTGAGTTTGTTACTTACTTATTTTTTACCAAATGTATTTTATTTTCGGTTTTATGACTTGAAAGATGAAGTTATTTGATAATTAGTTATATGGCAAGATACAAAAATAATGTTCTCTACTCGACAAAGTTATTTTCACGAATGATAAAATGTGCATATAGATGATAAAGTAACAAAACTAGGGTATTCCCTGATAAAGAGGCACAGAGTAAGGAATCTGCTACGTCACGCTAGATAATCAACCGAAATATGTACATACTGCGTTGTATCGAGAAACCAAAACCGAAAGCCAGGGACGCAGGGATTCGACTGAATGCAGNTGATTTTTCCATTCCAGCCAATTTGCTGTCATATTTCCAACACCAGATAAAGGTGTTAGTGATGTTTTACTCACTGCCATTTCTCTATTAGTTTCTTCACCAAAATAAAAATATATGCATGCAAAGCGTCGATAATAATTTAGAAACGATTACATTAATTTATTGGAATGATCTTAATAATTTGAGTTTGTTACTTACTTATTTTTTACCAAATGTATTTTATTTTCGGTTTTATGACTTGAAAGATGAAGTTATTTGATAATTAGTTATATGGCAAGATACAAAAATAATGTTCTCTACTCGACAAAGTTATTTTCACGAATGATAAAATGTGCATATAGATGATAAAGTAACAAAACTAGGGTATTCCCTGATAAAGAGGCACAGAGTAAGGAATCTGCTACGTCACGCTAGATAATCAACCGAAATATGTACATACTGCGTTGTATCGAGAAACCAAAACCGAAAGCCAGGGACGCAGGGATTCGACTGAATGCAGAATGCGAGATTGTGCAAAATCATGCGAGACGTATCATATGACTGGTACGAAGGACATGTGGGGGCATTGTTTCATTGCTTGCTAACAGTTACTACGTTGCTACATTGTAGTTATTATCATCTAACATCTTCATAGATTGCACATCTTCCCATTGTTCTACTGTTCATGTGGGTTACACAAAACATAAATCTTTTGTTAATAGCGTCAATAGCGTAACCAATCATAGGAAATTCAAACGCGGGCCAATTGAAACGCCTCTTTTGGAAAAAAATGAAGCTCCGTTCGGAGCTATTATATTCTCCGATAAATGGTGATAAGAGGGAAACGTTATGGTCAGAGTTATCTATTTCATAGATTATATATATTTTCATTCAGGCACAATAGCTTATACTATGTTCAACGAGAACTGCCATGAAATGTAAATAGAATGTTCACATGATCGGTGCTGCAAATGTAGTTGAGTGACCGTTAGATGCGATGCTCAGGAATGAATTTTAGGGTAATCGAGGATCCTTGCATGCAGAATATCCTCATGTAGAAAAGCCAAAAATGTCTTCGCACCAGACCGTTGTGCACGCTTTACTTGTTTTCGTAATTTCGCGTGCTATGTTCTCCATGAATATGCTATGGCTAGGGAGAAACTTCCTATGTCATGATCTATGGCTATGTGAATCAGCGTCTATGTCACACATATTCTATGGGCGCGTGTCACGTTATTTTATGGCGGGAATAGCATGTGGCGCACCACGGTAATGTACGTCAAATGCATGAAGCAAACGACTCCAATATGGCGAATGTAAGGGATAGCGATACGTCGTTGTGGCTTCATAACAAGCTTGGAACGTCAAATGATAGCTGGACAGGAAGTTCAATTTGTTCACAACTCAATGCAGAAGTGTTACGGAATATCAAAGATTGTTTTCCAGACCTTCAGACGCAAGTTAAACTCAAATTACTCCTTTCATTCTTTCACATACCGAGGCGAAATGTTGAGGAGGTAAGGATAGTTTGCTTTCTACAAACACTGAACGCATGTGTAAAACGGAACAATAGTTTCTCTCGTATAAAAATCATGTATCTACATTATTGTGTTTAATGCGGTAAATATTTGGTTACATTCGCGTACGTACTGTAAGCCCGCTACTTATTTAACTTTATTCAAGCGCCAGATGTTTTTGAAATGCTTAGTAAACAACTGTGCTATATATACGATCACACTTTCTTGTAAAATTAACCGTGATTTCAATTCATGAATACCAATAGCGTTTTTGAAAGATATTCTAACTTGCTTCACTTTACTCATGTTGTAATTTCATTAAATTATACAGTGGCGTGTTGAACTTGAAGAAATCATCGAGGTGGCATCCCTCGACAGTGAGCTGTGGGTATCAATGTTATCCGAAGCGATGAAGACTTTCCCATCTACGGGTTCTTTAAACACAGACATCACAGACTTAGACGAGCATAGACCTATTTTTGGAGAGCTAGTCAATGACCTCCGAAAACTTCTAAAGAAACAAAATGACCCAGCAATGCTTCCATTAGAATGTCATTATCTCAATAAGACTGCACTTACCTCTGTGGTTGGTCAGCAGCCAGCACCAGTTAAGCACTTCACATTGAAGAGGAAGCCAAAAAGTGCTGCTTTGAGAGCAGAATTGCTTCAAAAGAGTACAGACGCTGCAAGTAATTTGAAAAAGAGTACCGCACCCACAGTTCCTGTAAGAAGTAGAGGCATGCCTAGAAAGATGACTGACACGAGTATGTTTATATATCTGTTTTTAATTACTATCCCAGAAATAATAACAACAAACTAACAAATTCTTTCATTTTCAGCACCATTAAAAGGAATTCCCAGCAGAGTTCCAACAAGTGGTTTTCGGTCTCCATCTCTTACCAATTCTTCTATGTCCAATAGAACACCACTTAGCAGTAGAATTCGTAAAGATGGTGGCATTAAATTACTGGACATTAATGAGCAACCAATTGGATATGCTCAGGCAAAAAAACGAAAGAGAATGTTGGAGATGGAGGAACAGCAGAAGAAAGTGGCAGAAGCTCAAGCAGCTGCAGCTGCTGCAGCTTCAACAGCGACAACCACAACAGAAACATCAACAACTCCAGAGTATGCTCAAGGTTTAGCTTCAATTAATCCACCAGCCACACCAATTACCCCTGTAGCATCTGTACAGACTTACGCAACACCTACTACTCTAAGTGGAACATCTACAGTAACTACTTCGCAAACTTGTACGTTCTTACATTATAGTATCGTGAATTTTTATTGAATGTACAGGAAATTAATGAAACTATTGTTACATAGCTACAACTCCAACTACACCCACTACCCCAACTACAACAGCACCAGTTACGACACCGACAGTTATTACCCCGGTGGAAAGCACGCCCGTTGGGGTACAAACCGTTAGACCGGCTCAAACTGTTACCCAGATTCGTATACAAACTACTGCACAACCGGCCAATGCTGCTGCAAATACAAGAAAGGGTCTATCTCTTACGGTTCGTACGAATAATACATTCACAGTGGCTCAAGAAAAGTATTTGTGTTCTTTCTAAAATAACAATTGATTTTATGTTATTAGCGAGAACAAATGCTGGAAGCACAAGAAATGTTCAGAACCGCCAACAAAGTGACCAGACCTGAAAAGGCGCTTATTTTAGGTTTTATGGCTGGTTCCAGAGGTATCTACTTAGTTAAAGTTTGTTAACATCTTGCAGCACTTTGAATACTTGAGAAATTACTGATTTTCTATTTGTTACTTTTAATCAGATAATCCGTGTCCAAAACTGGGAAATATAGTCACGGTTATGCTATCTGAAAATATCGAGGAAGTAACACAACCGGATGGAACAACTGTACCAATGCTAGTAGAAACGCATTTCCAAATGAATTACACAAACGGTGAATGGAAGAGGATAAAAAAGAATCGACGAATTGTTACGGAAGAATCCACATCGACCGCAACACCAGCTCCTAACGCGACTGCTACGGCTTCCAATTAAAAAAGAAGAGAAGAAAGAATTAATAACGAGAAACCAAAAAAATATTGTGGTCAGATGGAGGTTGCATAGGTCAATAATTTTGTTGTTTTCAATGTAAAAAGTCTGCCTTTGTCTATAGTAAAGAAAGAATTAAGTACGGAGTACACGGCCTATGTGTAAGCAGACGTGTGTATTAAGTTTCTGTAGTAAAACTTCAAGGCATATACATGTTGAAGTAAACATGAGAGACACATTTGTGTTAACCGAAAATTCATCTAAGATGTCATCTAAGATATCTACATTTTCATTTGACTAACCGAAGACGCGAGACTAGGTAAGAAACTTGAATTTTCTTTTTTACTGAAAATTACCTGGTTCATAAACGAAGACATGTTCATACTGTCGGAAGCATAACAACCTTATCTCTAACTGTGTGTCTGGTTTCATCAACAACGAGCTAATTCTCCAAATAATTATCATTCGATTAGGAAGTCAAATGCTGAAACCAGGTGCATCTGATTGAAAATGCAATGATTACTGTTCGCAATTTAAATTTATATATATATTATATATATATATGAATATATAAATATATGTTTCTCCATTTAATAAGAACGAACTAAAAAGTTATAATATTGTTATTTGAATAAAAAATATGATTATATTGATTAATTAATATTTATTTAATTAGTACTTAATACATCAAAGTTATTAAATTTGACGTGTTACCTATCGTCACATTCACATCCCCGCCACCTCAAAATGCACCTGATCATAAGATTACGGCGAGTACTTAACCAATACGGGCTAAGACAAGCCACTCTTACTGTTCCTGAACCTTACGCGAGACAACGGAGGAACAACTGTATGTAGATTTTTATCCCGCCCGACTGATGCTGCCCTCTACGTTGCCTTTGGTATAAGACGAATTTAACCTTTTTGCAAAAAGATGATACGAAGTACATAGTTAAATAAAATTATTCTTAACAGACGTCGGATCAGACAAAAACTGCACTGGTTCGAAAGATTTTTACGAGCTCCTTCGATATCCTTAATTGACATGCACCGTTCGTATGATAAGTGAGTTATATAAACTTCCCAAACCTCAAACAGACTTTTCTGCGTTCGGCTTACTGTTCAATAAAGTATTTTCGTGATTAACGGAATTAACAGTCCCTTTTCCTCATACAAATATTGTACTATTGAGGTAATCAGTAATTCGTACATTCATAATGTTACGATTATTAACGTCTTTGCGCCCTCAAGTTCACAAAGCGGTAAGTTACTTAACCTAACGGGGATAAGAATTTTTCGTTATTTGATGAAAGAATAGTTTGAATGTTATCTTAAAATTTTTAGGATGTTTTCAATCTGTTGAATACAATTAACGGTAAAATAATAGGTCATATAAATGCGTTTCTAATACTTACAGGTGACTACTGTGTTAACCGTGACAAAATCTAAGAATCCAATACTAGTTGAGAATGAACGCAGTATCTGCATCAGTTCCAAGCTTCTCTGTTGTCGACCTCAGGTGCAAAAACCTGCTCCTGACTTTGCTGGAACAGCTGTGGTCGATGGAGTGTTTAAGGACATAAAGCTAAGTGATTATAAAGGCAAATACGTTGTCTTTTTCTTTTATCCCTTAGATTTGTAAGTCTCTTCTCTATAAAAATCTAAGACGAATGAATCTTTAAAAGTTACATCAACATATTTATTTGTAGCACATTTGTATGCCCCACCGAATTAATAGCATTCAGTGAAAGGATCTCAGAATTCAAAGCTTTAAATACTCAGGTAATAGGGGTTTCTACAGATTCTCATTTTAGTCACCTGGCTTGGATTAATACTCCACGAAAACAGGGTGGACTAGGTGGTGATTTGGGCTATCCTCTTCTTAGTGATTTTAAGAAGGAAATATCATCTAAATACAATGTTCTGCTCGAAGATGGAATAGCCTTGCGAGGGTTATTCATCATAGATACGGAAGGTATACTGAAACAATTTAGTGTGAATGATTTACCAGTTGGTAGGAGCGTCGATGAAACACTGAGGCTCATCAAGGCCTTCCAGTTTGTCGAAAAGCATGGAGAAGTTTGCCCTGCCAACTGGCAGCCAGAGTCTAAGACTATCAAACCAAATCCAAAGGATAGCAAAGAGTACTTTGAGACAGTGAACTAGACATTATATCTTCGAACATAATGTACTAAAATATAAAAGAATATATACGAACTGCAACACTGAACTAACACTCCTCATTGGTATTCAGATCTAGGGTATTTATGCATTTTTGAATCTAGGGTTTATTTAAGCTTTTTTATATTGTACTCGACCCAATAAATTCTTTGAAAGCGATTTTTTTCGTTTCATCCCTGACCGTTTGCAACGTTGTACTGGCACATTCCTCATAAAATTGTGCTAATGAAATATTTAGAGAGCGAGAAAGAGGGAGAGAAAGATCTAAATAAACGATAGTATGCGCGCTTTATATAATCATGCTGTTGGTAGCTAGAATTTCTCCCGACAAGGGTGTACTCGGCCGTTTCAATCAGAAGCAAAGGGCACGAGGGCTCGCGATGCTCGAATAAAAAGTAAGAGGGGGAAAAGAAAGGTGCGTGAATCGCTCGTACATATACGTGAGATGCGGAGGATTGAGGGGTGGAATCCGAAGAGCTACCATGAGTAGGGAGAACAGCAATCTTGGCTGGTTAATTTGATCTTTGTGGCGATGGAAGTAATAGCGACGGGTCAAATCTTTCAAAGTCCGTCTAGGATTACCCCCTCTGTTCCACGTTTTCTCTATAAAAGTGCCGACTGGTTCCCTCATAATCCATCCAACCGTCCGCATCAATGTAATAAAGAATTTCATGCGGTAATTACCATTAAGTACTATAAATCGTGTTGGCAAGTAATTTGAGCAAAAGGGAAAGTAATGCAGTTTCTTGTAGACGTAAAAACAATTTCGTTGCATTCAACACGAAATGCAACATAGTTCGATGCGAACTGAAAGAACTATTCGTTGATATGAAACAGCTGTGTTGTGGTAGTACCGATCAGAATCTAATTACGGCGGATCGAGTATCAAGGACTAGGTTCCCGATAAATTTATAAGAGAGAGCTTATTATTCCGCAAAGATGCTGGCGATGCCCCCGAGGAAGGGATGAAGTAACCGGAGAAGAGGGTTGGCGGAGGAAGGTGACGCAAGGTAGACGGGAAGCGGAGAAAAACTGAAAAGCGACGCCCGAGATAAACGGCTCATCCGCTCCCATCCCATAAAATCCAATCCAGTCCTTCGCGAGCCAAAATCTCGAGATTAAACATATTCGAGCGAGCAGACACGTTCCCCGGTATTCTCCACGTGACTGAATCTTCAGAGATGTTTTGGACGCGCGCGCGCGCGCGTGAACGTCCAAGATTCAGCGGAAGAAGCTCTTCATCAACCGATCGCATATTTAACTAAGAACTCGGTGCTCGACCAATTTGTAATTACACATGTATTCGAAGACATGATTCTTGGCAACACAAGAATCGAATTCAATTTTTATTATTAAGCCAATTGCGTGTGCAGTTTGTCAGTGGCAATATCCGATGGGAACGAAGTTAGATGCGAATGTAAAGGTCGTTTAAGCGTTAGTTACGAAACAACAGGAGGAGCAATTAGAACGAGAAGCCGTACACCGACACCCCCAACAATCACGGGGGTGGAACAAACTGACGGCGATAGACGACTAGGAAGTCGATTAGACCGGGAAAATCCCCCCGGACGGCGACGACATAATCCACGCTCACTCTTAATCGGACGAACATTACGACGAATTGGCCGAGCGTCAAAAGGAAAATCGATAACCGGCCGGCATCGTCGAGGAACCGAGGCAAAACGCCAGGAATAGAAATTGTGGAAAAAAAGGAGGAAAGAAAAGGAAGAAGAGAAGAGTCGCGTGTAATTCAATTCGCAAACTTTCCAGAAGGGATGAACGCGAATCAATGGGAAAATGTAGCCAGGCTATTGTGGGCTGCGGTTTAATCCACAAGCTTCCTCCCACTGCTTTCCAGCGTGTCGCGATTTCAGCCGGTTGTTCAGCGTTTCCCGAACCCGGTTCTCTGTATTTCCGGAAAATATCGCGATTCTAAAGGGGCGGGAGAACACGTTCCAAAGACGGCACGATTGTACACTAACGAAACTCTCTGCGAATCGTCGAACATGGTACTTGTACCGACAGCAGCGCATTCTTGGACTTTGAGGAAGCTAGCTGCAATGCTAGCGCAACGTGGAGATCTAATTTCCTTAGGACAAATTGCACCTGGAAGTCTCAATCGGGATCAATTTAATCAAACCCTGACAGTCGAACCACCATTCAACATTTCTTCCTTGTCCATTTTCTTACGAACATGCAGCATCAATTTACGAAGCTTCATCGAATCGTGAGTATCTTCATTCTTTTATTTATAATAAGGAACCAGACTTCAAATCGGATCTACTAAACGTAAATGTTATTCATTTCTTTGAAATTGAAATAACTGTTACTTCCCCGTTATCAATATTGAAGCATTGAAGTGAATGCAGACATATGATAAATATGCATTTTCTTTGGCCACTAAGAGAATTATTGAGGATAAATTAATTATTCGAGCTCTGAAGAAAATAATACGGGAAAAAATCTTGCAACTGAACTCCTTAGAAACTATCTTTGCAAATTCATAATATTTTCGAAGTTGAAGCTGCGAACTTTCAAAGCGTTCCTCACGAAGCTCCCGATTTGGAAGCATCCAGTATAGATTCGCATGAAAAATCCTCGCCCTAGACGGCGACAAGGACGGAATCGCTTAAAGTCATTAGCTGGTGTCGCAAGGAGCGTCTCTCGCCCCCGAATGCGTGGGCGGGGGACGTCGGCCCGGCTCAAACTCGTCGGTTTATTGTCAGGCGAGCGATCGAAGCGAAAGCGCGCGCGTCAAAGAGGATCCTCTATCGTTTCTGGTGAAATAGAACTCGCGTCGTTTGAGCCTCTTTGGTCCCCTCGAGCCTCGTCCTATCCCTCTTCCGCTCTCTCTCTCTCTCTCTCTCTCTCTCTCTCTCTCGCTCTCCCTCTTCCTCGTTTTTTTCCCTCGCGGAGCCGTCTAATAACCTCTGCCAGGCTCGCGACTGCTCGCGAAAAGGAACATTTTCTTAAAGGAGCATTCAGAGCGCGGCTTGATAGGTGGATATTATAGTAGCTGGGGGGTTACCCTTGGTGGTTCGACGCCGGCGGGGGTTGAAGGGGTGGAAATGTGGCGCGGCCACGAAAACGAGGAGACAGAGTGCGCGGCGCGGGTGCGGAGCGGTGCGGAGCGGATCGGAGCAGAGGGGTTGCCCGGGCGGGATGCTCGACGGGGCCGGAAGAGAGAGAGAGAGAGAGAGAGAGAGAGAGAGAGAAAGAGAGAGAAAGAGAGAGAGAGAGAGAGGGGAATGCATCCATCCATATCCATCCCGGGGTGGCTACTGGGGCTTTGATTACTTGTTTTAATCTTCCGACTGCCGACTGGGCGAGCATCTGTCACTCAAAATCCGTAATTGCGCGCGGTACCGCTCCGCCGACCCTCCTCGCGGCTCCACCCGCCCCCGGGCCGCCCATGTCGGCACCAAGGGGGCTGGAGATCTTGCTTTGAGCATCGCCATTACTTTCTTATTGCTCGTTTAGCACTTTCACACTGGTTTGCCGGTTACCGGCTACGCGAGCGCATTCGTACGCGATCGGATAATCGGATTACTCGGCGCTCCTGAAATTCCCGCTTCCCCATTGAACCGATCTACCTTCCGCCGTCCCTCCTCCCCACCCCCTGGTCCTTCGGTTTCGATCATGCTTTCGACCNGAGAAAGAGAGAGAAAGAGAGAGAGAGAGAGAGGGGAATGCATCCATCCATATCCATCCCGGGGTGGCTACTGGGGCTTTGATTACTTGTTTTAATCTTCCGACTGCCGACTGGGCGAGCATCTGTCACTCAAAATCCGTAATTGCGCGCGGTACCGCTCCGCCGACCCTCCTCGCGGCTCCACCCGCCCCCGGGCCGCCCATGTCGGCACCAAGGGGGCTGGAGATCTTGCTTTGAGCATCGCCATTACTTTCTTATTGCTCGTTTAGCACTTTCACACTGGTTTGCCGGTTACCGGCTACGCGAGCGCATTCGTACGCGATCGGATAATCGGATTACTCGGCGCTCCTGAAATTCCCGCTTCCCCATTGAACCGATCTACCTTCCGCCGTCCCTCCTCCCCACCCCCTGGTCCTTCGGTTTCGATCATGCTTTCGACCGGGCTACGAGAGAGCTACCCGCTGCGTGTAACCTCTGGCATCGTTACGTTGAATTAGGAAAAGACGACGGTGCGGATCTCGGCGCATAGCGTTTCGAATTCTGGTTTGGAATACAGAATTCAAATTGCAGGGAAGTGCTAATGGTCTTTGCTTTGGTAGATTGTGAATCTTTGGGCACCGTGCGAATTGTGCTGCGTCGATTGCCGGGAAATGCACTACTCCCCTCCGTCGTTTTAGTAGATTCATCGTTTGATGTTTGTAGTATTTTGTGTGTGTTTCATCTACTTGAATCTATGTACTTTCTATTCGATTTTTTATTTAATAGTCGTTACTGGTTTTTTTATAGATCTCGCATCAGAGGACCTGAAGAGATGTGACATAAAATATACAGAATGTACTAGAAAATCAAAGATAGCAAGTTTGTTGCAACGCCTTGGTTTTCAAGTGGTTAACGATCAAGGTGGGATTTCCGCTCGGCAACAATAAGGGTAAGTTACTTTCAGCCATGGAAATTTTAACGACTTCTGTCGTCCATGAGAGTGCTATAAATACAAGATACTTTCTTATCTGAAGATCTATTTTTGTATTATCCTGATAGCGAAACATTCTACTGTCTAAAAATTTCATTCGAGTTCTCTACTAGACGATAATGTATCTAAATAATACAATGATTAGATAATGGAACGTTTGGATAACAGAATATTGTAAAAAATAAATGTTCGGATAAGGGAGTCTGTACCGTAGTATTAATATTGATATCCGGACGAACTTATAACGAACCGAACAAGCTCCGTTCCAAATTTTTCCAATTGTCCAAGCTTTATGTTTCAAACTCTGCCTAAATCGCGCTAAACTAAATGGTCGACAATTTTGTTATTTCCGCGAGTTCCATCGCAAACTTTTCCGTGCATTTTCGAAACAATCCTCCTGCCTTAAGCAAAAAAAAGAAAACAAAAAAAAAAGAGAAATCGATTGTCCGAATCAGTTACACGAGAATCCATAGCGAAACCATGGGGCACCATTCGGCAAAAGTTGCAGTCTATTTGCCAGTAGTTTTAACGAGCCAC